ATTACAATTAAACGTCGATTGGCTGTTTAAAATTAGAATTGTAAACATGCAAAAATATGTAGGTGCCGTCGTAGACGTTTGTGGGAGTGGTCGATATACGAATTTTTGATGCGATTCCACAGTTCGGTGACTATCGTAATATCATGTTTAGCTATTTTCCCCTGTAAATAATGATTATGTTAATAGTATAAACTGGGTTGGATTCCAATTTCTATTTTGTTTTTTTTAATACACAGGAAACTTTTCAACGCATGAAATACAAAAGAATATTTTTTAATCTTACTTAATTCAGCGGCTCAATGGGCCCCGCCCTGATATTATGCCATGGACTCCGCGGAACGTTAATCCGGCCTTGCTAAAAAGCCTTAAATGGGGGGGGGGGATATGGGGGGTCTCGTCACGAAATCACGAAAATCATTTTTCGATTTCACGAGTCACAGAAAAAAAAAATTCATTTTCACGATTTTTAGAAACACAGAGGCGTAACAAAATCTGTAACCATTTAACTCATACTGACTTTAACATTAGAGCCGTTTAAAGGACAATGGAAATTACTGCGAGGCATTACAAAACATTACGAGCGTCGTACGATGGTTCACGAAGTTTACGATAACGACGGTATACGATAACGACGTTTACCGATGAAACGAAGATACCTCAGAAAGACAAATTTATTCATTCCCCCCCCCCATAATATTATATTTGGGCGGAGTTTTAAACGTAAACATTCACAAGTTAGGGTAAAACATTGGTAAATTCAAGACCCTAGCTAGCCTTTTAGCTCTTCACGATTTACGCACGCATATTAATATCGATTCACCGAATGGTATTTCTTTAAATCACGAATCACGAAGCACGAATAATTGCTAATGACGCGTCACGAAAATACCCTTGCCCCCCCCCCCATTTTTAAAAAATGACAATGAATTAATGAAATCTACGTGAAGTATAAAGTAAAAATATAATTCTCGCATAATTATTGCGGGCTCAATGTACATGGTGTTTATCAGGTTTATCTCTTGTAGAGATATCGGTCAAAATACTTGTAAAATTTACAACATTTTCACTTTCTTCTACTCGTCTAAAACTTATCTCTGTTTCCTGATGTCTCGACGAAGCACGCGGCTTGCGAAAAAGGCAGAGAAAAGTGTGTTTGAAGACAATGAAATTGCATCGGAGCCAAAGCACTCGCCTACGAAGAAAACACGTCCAAATCATAACAAGAAAACGAAAGCTTTAACTTACCAAAAGTTTCCACGAGACGAAAAGCATCTACCAGAAAATTTCATCCAAATAAAGGAAGAAAAGAATGTCTTATCAGTTGATAACGAGCATTGCACAAGCACATCCAGTCATGCCAAGACAGAAGACCAAACATGTGACAAAATTACTAAAGAAGACAAATATGTTGGTGCACATGTGTCTATAAGTGGTGGTTTACATTTAGCTGCTGAACGTGCATTGGAAATAGGAGCTAAATCATTTGCTATGTTTCTACGTTCACAACGACAGTGGAATGCAAAGCCGTTAGACCCAAGAAATGCAGACCTTTTTCGAAGTGCTTGCAAAGAATTTGGCTTCTCTCCCCGCGTTATTTTGCCACATGGTATATATCTCATGAACTGCGGATCACCAGAGGCTGAGACTCTGAGTAAAAGTCGTCAAGTTTTGGTTGATGAGTTAAAGAGATGTGAAATGCTAGGGTTGACATTGTATAATTTCCATCCGGGTTCAAGCTGTGGGAAGATATCAGTTGATGAATGTATAGATCTTATTGCAGAAAGTATTAACTTGGCTCATCAGCAGACAAAATATGTTGTTACAGTATTGGAGAATATGAGTTGTCAAGGAAACACGGTAAGAACATTTTATTGTATTCCTTGACCTTGACTAGAAATTGTTGTGTTTAAAACCCATTAATTTCCATTGCTCCCCGATAACCCTACTTTGTTATTTTACTCTGTCTAATGCCTGACGACTTTACTCATCAAGGGGAGAGAACTGCCACTCAATTGGGTTAATCTGGGTTCCCAATAGAAACCAGCACCCTGCGATTTTTGCCTTCTATAGCTTAGAAAATTGCCGGCTATTTCTAAATCACAATCCAAAATTTAAGGGAAAGGTTCTTGATTTGATAACATAAATTTTAAACAATATTCTTCATTAAATATTTTGATAACGAGACAGAATCACCAAAACTACTCTCCACAATAGCTGAAAATGCTATTTCGGAGGGTCTAAATTTCAAACTTTTTCCTGTGGATGGAACCTTCAGCACCAGATACAGTAGCTGACTTCTTTCAAAAATTTTCCCACTCTAAATTCTATTGGGAACCCTGCCTGTGGACTATCTGCCCAATGGTCTAGTTAACCCATTAAGTTGTATTGTGCCCTAGTGCTCCCTATGTTGTCATGTTACTCTGTCTAAGGGACTGGTCATAAAGTAAAAGGGGAGGGGGGTGGGCTGGAAAAACTAGGGGGGTGGGTCACTATTTTTGAGCACGGTTGAAGGGGTAGGTCATCGAAAGTTAATTTTGTTGCCCAGTGAGGTCCCTAAGAACTACCTGTACCTGCAGTAGGTGGTCAACCAGCAATTATGTATCAAAGTGAGAAAACAATGTTAAGTTGTTAACATTTCTGAATTTGACCATTGTCTGCAGGCCCATAACTAGCTATGAGTCAATCGAGTCATTTGACTTGGTAGGCCAGAATTTGGGGACTAAAATTTAAACATTGCCGGAAACCTAAACTTAATAATGACTGAAATAATTTGCTCATGCAACAAGGCATGAAATGGCATTTTAGGACATTTTATTATTATTATTATATTGGCATTTTATTATTATTATTATTATTATTATTATTGTGATACTGAGAAGACGAATGTGTCGATTTCAAGTACCCCAATACACGTAATACAGTACTTTAGAATTTGAAGTGTGGTGAATGATAATACTACAGTATACCACACACATTTTAATTACCGCATCATCACACCATGTTGCCTTATTGGGACTGGATTACATCATTACATTTGGGAGACTGTGAAATTGCAGTAATTGTGTCACTGTTTATAAGCCCAATTTAGGTTAATTTCTTGTTGGAAAACTCATCAAAATGTGGGAAATAGCTTATCTGAGCTTCAAGAAATCCAAAATTTTCTTTCTGGGGGGCATGCCCCCAGACCCCTCTAACTGGCCTATCTGCCCATGTGTCCAGTTAACCCATTGAGTTGCATTGCACCCTGACGCACCCTACTTTAGAATTTTACCAGACAATTTTACTTGTCAAGGGGAGAGCGCTGGCGCTTAATGGGTTAATTAATGTCCATGACAAGTACTGATTGTGGACTAGAATGTTGTCTAGGAGAGTAAAAAATTAGCTGAGTATCTAGGGATATGCATTAGGACATGTATTAGGACGTGTATTATGCAGTGCTGCAATATAATTTAATGATATTCCTGGTTGCTTGTCGCCAGATAAGTGTCAGCTAAGGTTATGTTTTTCTACGTACTTGTTGCTGCCGCAGCGAGCGAGCCTGAAGCGAGCGAGCAAGGCAGCAGATCCTAATTTTGTTTTGTGGGTCGAAATCAAAATTTTCTATTTGGC